CTTCCTTCCTACAAGATCACCCCTATTGCTGACATTGATATCTGGGATGTGACGTCTAACAGGACTGACGATGTCTGCATTAGAGTCTAGCTGCGGGGTCTGGAAGGGGCTTCCTGTTGCCTGAGGCTGATTAGGTCGATGGCTAATATCTCCTCCTTGTGTAAAATACAGTAAATCATCCTTTAATGTATTTAATTCACTTTGAAATTTGCTAATGTTTTCCATTTGTACTTCTTGCCACTGTTGTTGACTTTCCTGTAGTTGCTGCTGACTTTCCTGCAACTGTTGGAGACTTTCTTCCTCTTTCCTTTCTTGTTCCAGTTGCCACTGCTGTAATCTCTCTTCTTGTTTCTTCTCTAGTTTTTCTTGTTTCTTTTCTTTTTCCTCCAACAACTGTTGTAATCTCTCTTCTGGTTTCTTTTATTTTTCCTCCAACAACTGCTGTAATTTCTCTTCTTGTTTCTTTTCTTTTTCCTCCAACAACTGCTGTAATCTCTCTTCTTGTTTTATTTCTCGTTCCTCTTGTTTCTTTTGCTGTTCTTGTATTGCTGCCATCAAATCTGCTAAGCTGTAGTTTGATTTGCTGCTTCTCGTTTCCATCTTCTTTTTTTTTTATCCCACTTCTGACAGCAATTTGTTATGCCTCTGACCGTTTGTTAATTTCCCCGTATAATTTCTTTCGAATGAAACTTTAGCGATACAAGTCATTTCTTAAATAAAACTAGTTTATTCTTTCTCAATTCAACTTTGTAATACACTTTATTTCCACAGTCACTTTAAACACACGCTGTAATTCACAATGATTCACGCACTTACTTACTTACGGTCACTACCGAGCTTGACCCAACTGTCCGTCTTTATCTCTGTTTGTCTGCAATTCAATTCCGATTAATTTGTCTCACGTTATGCGGCACACTTATATACAGGAATAGAGGGCACCTAGTACATACTGGATTATTCGTGATGTTCCCCGATCCTTCTAGAATATCATAACGTGTTACCAGCGTCACGTGACTGCCGCTGTTGTAACAGTATTTAAAATCCATTTACTGATTATACATAAAAGAGATAGGTAGAAAATCCTAAATTTTGAAATTAAATGGACCACACAGTGGAGGATGAAGCTGAAAAAAGTTGAGTTTTAAAGAGTAAGAAAAAATACATAACCAGAAAAACAATCTCTAGTTTTACCACTTAGAGGAAATGACAAGTGAAATGAAAAATAATGTGTGGAAAAAAGAAGTTAAAAACATTAATGATTTCATCAGTGTCTAACTTAAACAAGTTTATTTGCAAAAGTCTGTTTTTTGTTAAGTGTAAAGCTACACAATGGACTATATGTCTTTTGACCACTGTAGGTCACGAAACCTTAGTTTTAGCATTTTAAGCCCTTAGACTTACTGCTGAGCCACTACAGGCAAGTTAAATAAGCAAACAAATGTAACACATTTATGCTAAATTCTGTACACTTCAGAGACTTTCAAACTAATAATTATTTTTTTGTTTACATAAAATCAGAGAACGAGACTACTAAACATCTGTGTGGGGTCTGGAATAGTTAAATGTTAAACTTAAGTTACAAATTGAATTAAGATACAAAATGACTTTCAAAACAAACAAAATAATCATTTTGAGGGACTATAAGGAATAGAAGAATATTTATCAAACACCTTTATAACTTCATGGCAAATTATGTTTAATAAAATCAAAAATATAACTTATGGTTAAAAAATATCTAAAACATAAAATAAAAATTTTTTTCATCACTATAAATGTATATGAGAAAATTCAAATGAAAAAGGAAACTGAGCTAAGACAGGACACATAGTTCTATCCAAGTTCTTATGACATCGTGTTTTTAACTGAATAATTAGTTGAGAAATTCACTGCAAATTTAAATTAAAAACAAATTCAAAAGGATATGTGTTACGACCAACTGGAAAGTTTCTACAGATAATCTTTAATTGACTTTTCTAAATGCATTAGTTTGTAAGTTATTATTTTATTTTTGCAATTTTATTCCAACTTTATTGTTAATTTCCATGTGAGAGCTATTTTTCATAGCCCCCAGATTTGTATATCCCAAGTTACAGAAAAGGTATCAAATAAGTCTCCTACATAACATGTCTGGAAGTGTTCTGAAATCCCTCATGAAGTAATTTAAAGTCAGAGAAAAGGTATCAAACAGTTACCTGAAAGTTTATGTCTCACAAATACTCTAGTATTTTAAAAAAAGCAATAAACTATCACAGTTTTGTTTTACCTTGCATGTTAAATATAAAAAAAAAATTGTTTTACTTTTATGGATTCTAAACTCCTAATTCTTGTGTTAAAATAATGGTGAATATTACTTTGAATCTATGGTTTTTGCAAGCTATCAGGGTTTATTTTACTTTTATATTCAATGCTAGAGACAGCATATTTCAATCTTTATATACAAGAACGTTCAGAAAAGCACTTGAAGAGTTTAGATTTCATTTTACTTTATAAATGATCAAAAGTACTTAATATTTAGCAGAAAGTTGTTAATGTCTTTCTAGAACCAGAAGACAATCAGCTCTTACTGTTACTCTTATTAAAGCATTACCCGAAAATTTATAAGACGCAAGTCTTCTTTCATTTCTCACTCATTATTAAGGTAACTAAAAATATTTGAAAAACATGTTTGGTATGTCCTTGAAAGTATAGAGATTAAAGAAAGCACCAACATAGAAGAATGAAGAGATAAAAACTTCAAACCTAGTCATGTTACTTGAAGAAGTATGGTTGTTATGAACAGACGAGTTTAAGAAGCAAAAATCTCTTCATAAAAAAAAAACTATACATTAAGTTACTGAATCACTAAGATTTACATCACCTTAAAGTAATAGAACTTGTAAAATAACCAATAAACACTACATCATTGCATACAGTAACAATGAAATACACTATGTATATGTATATATTTATATATATATATGTAATTACACTTTATATGAATGATGTTTAGTACATATATATATATATATATATTTGGTTCCCAACCACTTGAGAGTGAAATACCTCTAAGGGTAGATTTATCGCTAAACGAAAATCAAATACCTTTCTAAAGAGAAACATGCATATGGCATAATTGTCAAATGATACAGAGCCAAAGAAGACAGCAATTTGAAGAAAGAAGCCTTCAATATTATTTCAAGAAAATCCACATAAAAGTTTGTTTAGGACAGCAACAGGTTCTGAAAACACACTCCAAACCAACCCAGACGTGGTAGCAAGAAAACATGCATACAGTGTGTTGAGGACAACAACAGGCTCTGAAATCATACCCCAACCCAACCCAAACATGGTAGCAAGAAAACATGCATACAGTGTGTTTAGGACAACAACAGGCTCTGAAATCATATCTCAACCCAACCCAGATGTGGTAGCAAGAAAACATGCATACAGTGTGTTTAGGACAACAACAGACTCTGAAATCATACCTCAACCCAACCCAGATGTGGTAGCAAGAAAACATGCATACAGTGTGTTTAGGACAGAAACAGGCTCTCAAACTACACCCCAAAGCAATCCAGACATGAAAGCAAGAAAACCCACATAAAAGTTTGTTTAGGAAGAGCAACAGGTTCTGAAATCACACCTTAAACCAAGCCAGAGTAGCATCTTCATCAGCAAACTTGTAATTACAAAAGACAAAGCGAACACTCTGGTCATACAGTAATTGTGATGAAATTTGATCTATTGTCTGACACCATTAATAGCATTCTAGAAACAGATCTGAAACTGATGAAAACTCCCAAGTCAAAAATCCAAAAGTTTCCAGCCACTCTCCAAAATCAATGGCTGTTATAATGAGAAAGATGATCAAATAAATTGGAATATTACAAAAGTCTCATCTGATTATGCCTTTATCGAGTGGAAAGTTTCCCAAGATATGTGGTCTAAAACTAAATTTGCCATCTCTAACAGAAGTCAATTGCAATGAGAATTGTAATGTTGAACAGTATGCATGGCTATCAGCTTAAACAGGATTAGCTAAAGGCAGAACGGGGCCTGAACATCATTCTTTGAAAGTGTAATTAACCTAAGCATTTGTATTTTTTAAGTTATAATAATATAACATATTTAATCTTTATAATAGAAACACGGGTGCATTATTTACACACGCTGTTTTATATTTGGCCATATTTTTTTTTATTAACATAGGTATATTTTAGTCCAGAACCTAATAATAATAATATATATATATATATATATACATAAATCATGCTAGCCATATACATCTTGCTGATAGAAAGTTTAAGCAGAGAACAGAAATAAATGTATAACAACTTTACTTCAGTAGTCCAATTTAAAGTGAGTGACTTCATGCTTTATCATTTTGGAGCAAACACATCTCAAAATTAATTATATTTGTCATAAGACATTAGGCTAGACCTATAATGTTTAACACAACATTCTTAATCTAGTTCCTTAGTAATTTTCAAGAATTAAAAAAGTGTATAACAACATAATAATAGTATTTCAACCACAGTATATTTGTCATATCAACTGTTGACAATGAGTTTTGCTCCATCCAGTACTCTTTAGGCTAGCTAAGATACAACAAAGACAGTAGTGGTCTGAACACTATTTATATGGGCCATTAGTTACAACAACAATTGTGATGGTGTGAATGTCTTTAACAACCTGGCAAAGCATGATTATAATTAATTATACTTGTCACAAGACATTATGTTAAGCCTATCATTTCTTTTAACTACTACTGAAGAGCTCTGGATTAAGTGAAATGTGTCATCGGCAGTGGAGGTGATGAATGTAGTGTGGTTAAAAACTATTATTATACACTCTTCTAATCCTTAAAAATCCCTAAGAGACTAGAATTAAAAATATAGTGTAAAGAATAAAAAATAAAACTAACATAATTAACACCTTAAGGCAAATTGGGTTAATCATCTGTCACTTTTTATACTCATAAAGAACATCCATTTATCCATTTTTTCTTCTAAATTTCATACCTATGTTTGGAGGGTAAGACGATTCTGCATAATGAGGAGGTAAAAAAGGACGTCCATGGTGGCAAGATGTCATCTCTGAAACTTTCCATTTTGGTGTCAGAACATCTTGAAAAGGTGGAAATAAATAATAAAGTTATCACTTAAGTACATATCAGCAACAAGTTAACAAGAATGTTTGCTAATTGTGAGTGTTTGATATCAATATCTGAGATTACCTTTAAAATAATTGAAATAATGAAGTTTTAAAAGCATTCCACAACAAACATTTTGAGAAACAGAATGATCACTGTTCTTCCCCAAAACATTAAAATTAGCCAATTAATTTTCTTTAATCAAACTAACAAGTTAATAAAAACTATCTGAGAAAGAATACAATATGATATGATGCTTCATTTACAAATTCATTAGAAAACTAAATACATTACTACATACAGTGGTAAATGAAAGCATTCTACAAAATTCTAAATTTTTCTGTTCCTGATAATACATTCTCAAAATCAACTGCTTAGAATTCCATCTATTTAAAAAATCAGCAGCATTTAGTAAGTATCTGTATGATAATTCCATGTTGTTTTTGTAGGATAATAACTTTTATCAAGAAAACATTTTGTTTTTGTTATTATTATTATTCTTCATTAACATGTAAATAATTCATATTTATGAATATGTATGAGTGATAAATTTGTTATTAAAATATCATACTAGGTTTCTGTTGGCCACGCCCCACAATAGCACAGCAGCATGTCTGCAGATTTACAATGCTAGAAACTGGGTTTCGATATCCGTGGTAGGCAGAGCACAGATAGCCTATTCTGTAGCTTTGTGCTTATTTACAAACAAACTGTTGGCCACCTGTATTTTTGACATGCAACAAATTAACAATAATACAGTCACTGTTAATAATGTAAACCACTTTGGACAAAGGTTTGAATATTGAAAAATAGTAGTAGTAAAAATTTTCACAGTACCAAGATAAATCATTTTTGAAGTTTTGTTATACATTAATTTTTACTGAAGCCTTAGCTTGTTTAAGAGCAAACTTTAAACAACTCTTAAGCCAGATGTATCAAAGAGCAATAAGATAATTAAAACTACTATTTAATGAAGTGTCAATAATATTTGTAAGAACATTTATAAAAGACCTTCTGTAAAACAATAAAAATTACTGTTCTCAAAAAGTGAGAAAATAATTTTCCTCTATTAAATTCTTGAACAATTTTCCCCAAAATCTTACCTCTAACCCATCTTAATTTAAGTAACTCTTAATAAATTTAACTAAACTATCTTCAAGACTAATTTTGAATCCAACACACTTGGTTTCTGCATGCAAATTTATAAATATACTAAACAGATAACAAAATACCATATATATATAACAACTTAACCACTAAAATACACTTTCTCCAAAACTTAAATTAATTAATTTAATAAGATTAGCTACTCCTTGAACACAACTTCTTTAAAAGTTAATTGACACTAAGGAACCTATCACAGTGAGTTCCCACACACACTGTATAAATGGTAAGGAAAAGGGGAACATTACAAGTATTAAAGACATTATAAAACCAAACAATAAAATGGTGGATTACTCTGCTTTGTTCTTAACATAGACTGTCTCCCAGCACCTAACAGAGTCTGAACACCTGGTACACTGGATGGTACCTCCTTGTCTAACACTGGACCAAGTCGAGAGCATATTTTTAGGAGATGATCGTGTGATATATGAGGATGGTTTTGTTCCTAAAAAAGAATTTGTAAGTGACAGTAAATGCTGAAACATATCTGCGATACAATGTCTTCAATTATAATTGATATCTGATAAAAACAAATAGCTTACATAGATCAGAACTAAAAATGAACACCCAGTAATTATAATGTAGCTAATTTAATATATTATTCTAACTAGGACTATGAAAAGTTATAAAAATTAGTTCATCAGTTGGGTATTAACAGCAGTTTCAGCCATAAACCTAATACACATGTGCACATGAAAGTTGGTGAAGTAGACAATTTCCATTATTAGTTTAAAAATATATATTTACTAAATTTTTACTAAAAGTTACATAAGTTTTTCATGAACAAAACAATAACTTTTTACCCACCTTCAAAGTGTTTTAAAACTACTTATATTAGGGCAAGTTTATTTTAATTGAATTTAAAGATAAAAATTAACTTTGTACCGATATACTGAGACACTGCATTGTTAAAATCATATTATATATTATCAACTGACTGAAATATCAGCCTAAATAATGTTTTTGTTTTATAGTACCATTTCATACACATCTAAATTTTGTGGTATGTTTTCCATATAGATTGAAAATGCATGATTAAAGTGACATTACATATTTTCAAAAATATCAATACACCTGGCTACGACCTAAATATGAAAGACTTCAAAACATTTTAAATAATTAATTCTAACATTTCTTCTTGTAGCTCATAAAAACAATTCAGCAAACATACTGACATACAGTTGTTATGTAAACCTATTAATAACAACAATTCAAACTTTTTCTTTCCCAAACAGTGTTTATACTTAATCAGCAGTCTTTAAGAGAAAATTTACAAATGTGTAGTAACTATTTATCAAATTTTATCTCTAAATTCCCTTTATGAAAACTTTTTGTGTCTGACAAACCTTCCTTTTCTATAAACCCCTTTTTTGTTGTTTACTGTGTAAATGAAAGTTTCCAACTGTTCACAAATGTACAGACTGCAAGTAAAAAAAAAAAAATTCATATCTTAACAGTGTCCTTCAACCCATAAATAGCAAAATAAGTTTCCTTTGGATTATTTCAGTAAAATGAAAAAGAAATGCCACTCTTTCTGTATGCCAGAAAAACAAAACTATAAGGTTGGAAATATTTGTTATGACTTGGTTTTGATTTTTGCTTATAAGTATTTTTTCTTTTTGTTCAATTTCATCACTCTGAGGTTTTTTTCTTAATTTTGATATTGACCTTTTGGTCCTGTTATTCCTTAACTTGTTGCCTCTTGCATTATCATTGCATTTGTTGACTGATGTAATTCATAGAATGACTTTGGGATGGTCATAATTTATGCATTTATGGTGGTTATTCTTGAATCTGATATTCAATTTTTGCTTATTGTCATATACCGTGCTTTTCTTAAGGCCTATATTTTGTAATTTTACCCTGTTGATATATTTAAGATTTTCATGAATATTTGTTTTCATACCATGTTATTTTTTTATATATTTTGTTAGCCATTATGTTTTAATATTTGTTTTCTACACAGTTGCTATTAGGCTCTTTTTTTCTGTTTGTTCACTTTCCAATATACTGTCCTTTATTGTTACAACTTATTTATTTGCTTCTTAGCATAACATTTAAGGACAAGGGACCTGTTGATCCACTGAAGCTGCCTCATCCACTATACTAAACTTTATTTAAAAACTTATAATAATAAAAAAAAGCACAAAGCTAACCCTTTATCGCTTTTTTTAACCAACTCTACATCTAACATCCAAGTTAGATCATAGACTTCTTTAGTAGTTTTAGCTTTCCTACTTAAGTCTATTTCATATCTTGTAGTTTTTCATTCATTTTACTTTAACTTTTAACAGTTTTTCTTCATGATTTATTTTTTAGTGTTAAGTTTCTCTTGGCTTCTTTTTTTATGTTTATATTTTAACATACTTTTTGTTTTATCACTAATATTTATTTTTTATGAATGGGCCATCTTTTTGTCACTTCTGTTGATCTATTTTTTTACTTGTTATTGCATCATATTTGGCTATTTTTACTTGTACAATGTTTCTTTTCCATACCTTATTTTTCTATACTGAAGGTATAAATGGACATGGAAGTCTTTCCCATTATTTCAATAGTAATAATATAAATACAAGCAAAGCTTAGAAATGTTGCAAACTGAATTATGACACACATACATACACATTCCAAAGTTCTTCTGAAATTAAATAGGTAGAAAGTGTGGAATTCACAATAAGTATGAATAAATATAAATATTTATCTTATTTTTACCCTTACACGTATAATTAACTCTTTCTTAAAAGCTCTTTATATATGCACATACATGTAACAATATGTTTCAATAAAAAGTCGGTATGTTTTGAAAGTAAATCCAAACTATGCTTTATAATTGATAAATTGAACATACCTTAAACTGCATTAAAAATGTTTTACTTTAAAATTCTATAAGTTAATTATCTAAAGAATTATAACATTATACTAGCAAATGACCAATTACTGATATTACATAAAACTATAGTGAGCAATCTAGTTACTTTAGCAACCAACAGATGGAAGGGCCGTCACGCTTATTCTACTAAACTATCCAGATAGTGAACTCGTTTGTGACGTCATATTTAACGTTGTACCTCTACACCTATATTTACTAGCCCACTTAATCACGTTAAGCCTAAATAAGAACCTGATTTTTTATGATTTAATTTTAACATTCATGGTAAACTTTATACCATACACATTTACTTCCGTAATCAGTAAAATAGGGTGTAAGGAGCAACGGTAAGTATTTTACGATACACATAAACACACACATAATAAATTAATATTAAATTTAATGGACATAGCTTCACAAATGTAGACACGCAAAACTGATTTATTTACTTACCAAATCTTCAAAACTTCTTTGATGACTGCGTCCCAACCAATCTATACGACATGGCATAAGCTAAGTAAAAGTATACAGTATTATTACATTATTACTTTTATTTTACAAAAACTAGCACAAAATATTACGTCATAGTAACTAAAGCACGTGGTTACTGACAATGTTTTGAATTCAAGAAAGACCACGTGGCAACCACGAGGAAATTGAATAGAGAGCTAAGCCTGTGGTTGGGTTTGAGTATATACACTTACCTGGTACTTCTCGATCTCTTGCCGAAGAATCTGCAAAAATAAAAAAAAATAAAAAAATTAATAGCTTCTACATGATGTACGTATTCTTCTAAAGCTTATGAAAATATTCTTACCTCTGCACTTCTTTTGCATGGCCCAGAATTTAGAAAATTTGCGATGAGATAATATAGTTCTGAAAGAAAACAAAATAAACGGATTTAGATCCAGAGTCCCTGTATCTCGACGAGTGCATTCATCGTCAGCAAATCACCATTACAAGATAAACAATTTTTTCCCCACCTGCTTCAAGGGATGACGTTTTCTTAGGCTCTTTAATTAAATCAGACATTTTAGTTTATTGTTTTGTAAAATAAATAATCTCACACGTTACACAAATGAACTGATAACATTGTAAAGAACTTAAACTTGTCGCTTAGTCCTACACTGGAATCTTGAGGTATTGGCGTTCACCTAACAACATAGAAGGGGCAAACCGGCAGCCACTGTAGTATATTGGAAAATAGTTCTTTGTATGTGAAAACATTTTAACACGAATTAACCACAGTATGTTAAAACGCACGCATATTTAAAACTATAATGAAAGTTAGTCTATCTTATTTGAATAAAATTAGTAATTTCTTCAATATTATTGATATGATATACAAAGAAGTGTGCGTATTAATATAAACATGTAAGAGTTTATATACAAGCTTGCCTAGATGTTTTGAACATGCGCAATCTACGTCAGCTTCTTGTATAGCTTATGTGACCTAACCTTGCGTAGCAGGATACGTAGGAAGGGAGAGAGTTGTTGATTCAGAACGCAAAGTGGCAACTTAATGTTACGTTGACCTGACTCAAATATAAATTTGTAAAAGAATGTGATAGCTTAGCACTAATCAAAGAGCGATGAAGAAATATGTGAATTATATTTTTTGAAAACCTGATAGTTATAGTTATAACATCAGACACGTAGGTGTTAAAGTAAGTTTGGTTTCTTAGTAATACTGATAGGTTTCGTTTTTTTTTTTGTTGTTGTTGTTGGGTTTTTAATGTAACACAAGCTAACCGAACAGTGAAACATAAATGAGGTTGAAGCTCTGGATTGTAAGAGTAAAAAAGTAGCTGTTTTTTTTTCAAGTATATGATGATCTGAATTACTTTAATTTCATTAGTCATTATTTTATGGTATAGTTTGAGTTTTAAATTCAACAGTTTTCCCGTAAGTATGCACGACACACAAATGGGAATTATAATGATGTAATTTAGTTTTACATACTGAAAGTTATTCAAAAGCCGTTACCTTTAATACCAACTTTTTTCTTTCCTGATGTGTATTAAGTTTAACCAGAAATGTGTCAATGTGACATGAAAACATAAATACTAAATACACAAACAAGTTCAGGTAGTAAACTTGCGAGCAAAAAGTTATTAAATGTGCACACAAAACATGAGGCACAAAAATTAATATATAATGTGAGTTCAACTACAAGAGGCATCAATATAAAGAAATTAAGACACAGTACATAGATTTTAAGTTTTAAATGTGTTAACATATACAGAGAAGTGTTAATGCAAACCACAAAGTTCAGTTACAATAGCAGTCAATAAGTATAAGGAAGTTACAAATCAGTTATCAAGATAACATGAAAATGCATAGGTATACTATTTTGCTAAAGTTTCAGAGCTTATTAGGAATTGAAAATGTTTTAGAAATTATGCTCATTATTCAAATGTCTGTGTCATAAATATTAATAAAAATAACTTAGAGACAGCTAGCAAAGGACCTTTCGGTCCTTCAAGGCTGCACACAAACCCACATCCTTAAGAAAATTTAAAATTTACACCTACCCTTTACTTTTTAAGAAATCATTGATTCCCCCTATAAAAACTTCTGTTAAGTGCTAGTCTACACCACTGCCTGTGACACCTTGCTCTATAAATCAATCAACTTGTTAGAAAAATAACTGTCTTAATTAGAGCTTAGTCTGTCTTTTCCAAATATTACTCTGTGTCCTCTCATCCTATTGTCTTCAGAGTATAGCACAAAAAAATCAAAGGCCTTTATACTGTTGATTCCACAGATAATTTTATAAATTTTAGTAAATCACCTCTTATTCTTATTCTCTTAAGATAAAGTAAGTTAAGAGATATTAACCCATCTTCAGAATCATTCTAGTAGCCCTCATTTGAACTCTTTCCAATAACTTAGTATCTTCTCTTAGACAAGTACACAGAACTGTAAACAGTATTGCAAGTGGGGTCTAACTAGTGATTTGTGTAAAGATATAATTACCTCTTTTGACTTGTAATCAGTATGTCTATAAATACATCCAAAAAATTTTATTGGATTTACTATTAGCAACATAACACTGCTTTGATGGCTTGAGTGACTTATCTGCTACTATGTCCAGTTTCTTTTCTTTAGTAATGCTATTGTGTTGGTTTCCATCTAGTATATTAAACATGATCCAACTTATGATAACCCAAATGTATTACCTTACATTTACTACAATCAAATATCATTTGCTAAATATTTGTTTAACTTGCCAAGTTGTTCTGTAATACAACAACATCCTTCATACAGCTATAGATGGTGAGGCATTACCCAGTGATGACCTCATGCAAAACATACCAGTTGCTTTTCTTACATGTATTTGAAACAGTTCCAAGTAATAGAACTAAGTAAACTAGTGTTACGTCTCCGTTTGTTAATTGATTTTTCGTAACTTCGTTCCGACGAAATTTTAGTGACACAAGTCCTTACTTAATAAAACTGGCTTATTCTTTCTGAATATAACTTTACCGATACACTTATTTTCAACAGTCGCTCTTTTACAAACGTTTTAACAACGAACGTTAACTTCAACAATACTTCCTGACTGCAGTTCAATTACTCACTACCTACACACATTTTACACTGGCATTCACGAAGGAACAAGATAGTTCTAGAAACATGGCGTGACACTAGTCATGTGACCTCGCTGACGCAACACTAGCAATTATAAAAAAATAATTACTCTAATGCTAAAAAAATGAAAATTGTGATAATTTAAATTTTGTATAAAATGAATTCTTTAACAATTCTCCACTTTTTGCCATATTTCAGAGTTAGTATTGAATTGCAATTTTGCAAAATCCTTTTCATAATAACTCTACAAAACTTCAAGATTTCATTAAACATTATTTTGCTTCTACCATGTAAACCATGTACAAGGTCATAGGGCAATTAATTTTGAATGACTGTTGAGGAAAGAAAAAGGTTTAAAGGTTATGACTTTAGGTGTTGCTGAAGAGCTAGGATCAAGTATAAATTGGAAGTATACATTAATGGATTATTGGTTAATCCAATTACTAAAGGAGTCATGGGGTGTTCTCTGTCCAATAAGATGTACTGTTAAGTCCAGTATAATACAAGTAATCCCACACAATTTAATTGTGTAACTTAATCGCATTAAAAGACTTTGGACTTATTTTTTGGTATGTAGATTAACCTCAAACCAGCTTGCAAACTCCATCATAGACTAGGAACTACCCTTTTGCTTACACTTTGTTACCAGAGGCAAGTAACTAAATCTTCATGGGAAGGATCTACTTGCTGCTTGCATTGGTTGCAGCTTGTGTGTGGCTAACACCTCCATTAGGTGTAGAAATACGAAATATTTAATATCTTCAACAAACATCATTAATTATGCCCCTATCAATATTGTTCATTGAAATAAGAAAAGCAAAGGCTCAATCACTGACCCCAAGTAACAATACTCCTAGTAACAATATGGGTTGAGTTTGACAAGACTCCATTAATAACAACTTTTTTGTTTTCTCCAATTCAACCACTCTACAATCTAATTAAATAATCCTTCCCCTATCTCTGCTTATCTAATTTTATTACCCAATCTTTTGTGTGATACCTTATCAAAAGCTTTTTGAAAATCTACATACTTTCCTCTAAGTAACAAATATTGTCTTCAAAAAACAATAAGAGATTAGCGATGCAAGAGTTTGCTTTGTTCAACCCAACATTATTTCTCTCCATGTCAAATATTATTTACTTAGTAGTCTTGTAGTACCATAGTTCAATACTCAAACTCGAGTTATTTATTTCATGACTCAGACTTGTTCTCGAGTCATCTTCATAAAAGACTCGGGTAGTAATTTTATTATGTCAAAAGATATGTCTTTTAATAGTTTCAAAACAATAGCTACAATAGTCTGAAAATGCAAAAAAATTAAGATGAGTTAAAATACACAAAAACAATTAAAATAATTAAAAGGAAAAAAATAATAATAATTACAAGTGCAGTATTTTAGCCAAATGACTTTAACCATCTTTTTTTTACCACACTTTAGCTGAATTCATTTGTTATTATGTGTTTGTTTATAGTACAAAAACAAGTATGTGAATAATTTGACTGGGATTGTATTGCTACCAACTCTTAGTGGTTGTAGTTAGGTGTTATAGTTTTGTATGTTGAACTAGGTACATACCTGGGAAATGCCTTTGCACCTAAATACCCATGGATAATAAATGACATTAAGTGAACATATTTCAGAGGTCATGGCTGAGATGGCCTTAGCAGGTCTAAATATGTTGTTCCAACAGAACAATTTACCCTGTCTAAATTCAGGTAGGGCTTGTGCCTGGTTTCAAAGTAACAATATTCATGTCCTGAAATAAGAACCATCCAAAAATCCAGATCTCTTCCCTGTAGAGCATATTTAAGACTATATGAAAGGATTACTTAAAAGATTTGACGAAACCTTTTTTAGCCATCAGTAGTTGGCTGATCACTCAGCTAACTAAATTAAAGTATCTTTAAGTGTCAATTTATAAAATCCCATGTAATCTATACTGAGGCCATGTAATATTGTTGGGGGAAAAACATTGTCTCAGAAACCTGTCAGAACTTGGCTGAGAGCATGCCTTGCAAAATAGAAGTGATTATTGACACCAAGTGCAGATCTATGTATTACTAGGTCAATGAACACTAGGACCTGGTATAACTTGTCTGGATGCTGTTGGTAGGGTAGTGTATATGATGAATGTTTGCATTTATGTTATATTGAAAAATACTTTATCTTCATCTTAAATGTTATACAACCACTATCTGACTTTGTTATTGTGTAGAATATTCTTTGGAAACACTGTATATACATCTATATATGATTAAGACAGTTTGATCTCATTTTGTTTATACAATGCATCTATTTTGAATTTACAGTTTTCTGTGGCATTCTCGTTTATTTTTCATATCATTTAAATGTGTTATGGCTTTTCATATTGATTATTCGTATTGATTTGTAGTTGTACTATGCCTTAAAGTAATTGCCAACTACAAGCAGGCTGGGACACAAACAATAAGCATCTCGTTACTCTAATAAGATGCTGATATAGAGCTAAAGCCCCTTTACACACAATGGCAGAAGAACCAGAGAATGTGAACAGCCAAAACTGTTACATTGAATCAGTTGATTCACA